ATGGCCAGCGGCTTCTGGGCGATCAGGATGACGGAGCGAAGCTCATCTCGGCGTTCGTGTCGCCGTTCGGTCACTACCAGTGGCGACGCATGCCATTTGGTCTGAAGAATGCTCCGCTGGTGTACCAGCAGATGCTCAACAACTGTCTGTGGGGCTTTGTTCGACTACCACCTGGTAAGGAAGCTCAGGTGGATCAGGACGTACTAGATTATTTGGGTTTGAAGCCGCAAGAGGACAACGTCGCAGGGAGCGACACCGGATCGGACGACGAAATCCTGTCTGGCCGACGTCTACCCGCGCTGACAGACCAGATGACTGTGTTCCAACGTAACATCCCGGCACCGATGCAGATGGGCCCTGTCCTAGGACGGAGCTCGTACATTGACGACATCGCGCATGGGGCGCCTACGTGGAATCAACTTTGCATCGATCTGGATGCGCTACTGTTTCGGTTGCGGTATTGGAACATCTCTGTCAGTCTACCGAAGAGTGAATTCGGTAAGCGCTCGATCCCGTATCTCTCTCATGAGATCAGTGCAGAAGGACTCAGGGCGACGCCGAAGATCGCTAAGGGCGTACTGGATCTACCATTCCCGTCTACTCTGAAGGGGATCCAGTCCTTCCTCGGCAGTCTGAACTACTACCACAAGTTCATAGAGGATTTCCCGGTGGTAGCTGCAGTCCCGTACGAGCTGAGCGACGACCAAGTGCGATCCGGTAGGGACTTGTCGAAGGCGAAGGAAGCGTTCGAGATCCTGAAGCGGAAGATCGTGTCGACCCCATTGTTACGTCATCCGGACCGGACCAAGCCGTTCGTCATCATTCCTCACGCGAACCAGTGGGCAGCCTGTGCAGTCCTCGGTCAAGAGTATGACGGACTGATTCAGCCCGTCCACTTCACGGGGCGTGTACTGAATGACTCGGAAGTCCGATATCACGTTGCGGAGAAGGAAGTCATCGCGATCATGAGAGTACTGGATGTATTCAGGACGATCCTGGAAGGATGTTCGATAATCGTGTACACCCGCTATTCGGTACTCAAGTGGGTGATTCAGTCCAAGTCGGCGGATGGACGTTGCGTACCATGGGGCGTCACTCTTTCCCAGTGGGACCTGGAAGTTCGCCGAATTCAGCGAGATGAAGACGGTCTAGCCGCTATACTCGGTGCGGGTATCACCCCCCGAGAGCACTTGGACCGGATCGCAGAGTCGCTAATTCCAGCCAAGGGGCGGGTCAAGCCACCACCGGTGGTGAGCATGGAGATGTTGGTCGCTGACTTTGAGGGGATTGTGTTAAGCTTCGATGGAGCAGCCAAGACGTCGACTCGCCAAGGAAGCTGCGGATGCATCCTGTGGAGCCTGCCTGGTTGGAGCGTACTGGATGCACAAGGTTTCATCCTGAGTGATGTCACTGTGAACGATGCAGAATATCACGGCATACTGAATGGACTGACCATGGCACTGGATCGGGGCGTTCAAGACCTGATCGTGATTGGAGACTCTCGCATTGTGATACAACAAGTCCAAGGGCTGATTAACTGCAACCAACCCAACCTTCAACGACATCTGGCTCGGTGCAAAACTCTGGAAGGACGATTCAGTACGCTTCGGCTCGTTCATGTGAAACGTGAATACAATTCGGCCGCGGACTACCTGACCTCCAAGACGCTGGCGCTGGGTATCACGTGGACTGTCCAGGATGAGGAGGAACGAATCCATCTGCAGCGAGTGTCAAAGATCCACGAAAAGCTGATGAAGCCAGTGGTTGTGGCGCAGGATGTGAGTGAGGGAGTTCAGGATGCACCAGATGGATCGGCTGCTAAGAAGGTGGTGACACCGGATGTGGGGTCACCAGACAATGTCGAACAGGACCCCGGTTCTGCTCCGTTACCTCACTGTGCTCGAGTCATGGCGGTCCTGACCAGATCGAGAACACAGGAACAGACAGAGTCGAGTGGCCCATTGGGTCCGTTGGAGTTCCAAGCCGAGAGGTGGCGCAGGATTAAGGCACACCAAGATCAGGATGAGTTCATTTCGGAAGTCAAAGCGTATCTGAGTGGCGACCTGGATCGATTCTCTTCGAGGCGGCTTCGCAAGATCGCGAAGCTCTCGGACTTGTTTGCACTGGATGCCAGAGACATCCTGTATCGACTCGCGCGGTCTACTCGAGATCGACCTCGGGACGTACAGGATGAGCCACGTCTTGTGGTGCCACAAACACTGCACGCTGACTTGCTGCATTACGCTCACGAGGACTTTCAAGGTGGACACCAGGGAATTACCCGCACCCACGAGCGGTTACCCGAGTTCTATTGGCCCGGCATGTATGCCGACGTGGAACGTTTCGTGAAGGAGTGCGTTGACTGTGCAAGTGGAAAGGGGCGACCTCCCAACCCTGGACCGTCACCTGGTAACATCGAGCCCAGGCGCCCGTTTGAAGTTGTGTTGATGGATTTTGTGACGCACATGCCCAAGTCGGCACGAGGGAACACCTTCCTACTGCTTTTTCATGATTTATTCTCTGATTACGTGATGTGTAAACCCATGTCGTCTACTACGGCACAGGATGTAGCAGAGGCCTATGAAGAGCGAGTCTTCCGGAATTTCGGTGCGTCGTCGATGATCAGACACGATCAAGACCCACGTTTCATGAGTGAGGTCTTCACTCGGTTTCGGGAGCTACTCGGCAGTCGTCAGCGCGCCACGTTGGCATATCGTCCGTGCAGACCGTCATCCGAAGCGTCCGCGCTTACATCGCTGAGTCTGACCAGTCTGACTGGGATGATCACGCTGAGCGACTGATGTTCGCCCTCAACACCTCGTTCGACGCGACCCGATTGGACATTCCATTCTATCTGGTACACGGTTGGGATGCGCAAGGCACGGTGACGGCGATGTTAGGTCCGAAAGCATCTAGTGTGCCTGAACGCACTGCGTACGAGTGGCGTCGGAAATTTCAGCGCGACTACAGCTACGCAATAGCCTGTGCCGAGGACCTCCAGAGACAAGCGAAGCGAACACGATCGGAAGAACAGACACGCAAGTGGAGAGAATTGTCCTAGAGGCTGAAGACAGGATTTGAGAAGGGTGATTCGGTATGGCTCTACAGCCCGAAAGTCCAGACCGGATTGAGCAGCAAGCTGGCTCACATGTGGCATGGGCCGTTCAGGATCGAAGAGGTACACGATGACTTCAGAGTGAAACTCAAGGTGGAGGACACAGGATATCGTGTTACCCCTGGGTACACATCAGCCGCCTCAAGCCTCGCGCTCTGTTTACGAAGCTACCTACCGCGGAACTCGATCTGGATGATGACGACGATTTCGATGCAGCCCTGCTGCCCGAGGACAGCTGGGAGCCGGACGAACAGAATGATGAGTACGAAGTGGAAAAGATTCTGGACCTCCGGTGGGCCAAGCGCACTCGTACTTCCAAGAGATTCCGCTAGTACCTGATCAAGTGGAAAGGATACGACGATCCTGAGTGGTTACCAGTGACCAGGCTCAATTGTGATGAGCTTCTGTATGAATTCAATCAGAGTGCCCGTGCTAAGGCCAGGTTCCAGTCTATGCAGGCTGGTGATGACCACCCCAGTGTCTAGTACCGGATTGAACACTCGATCCTGACCGCCGACGTGTGACCTGACTGAAACTGAATGTGATTTTGATTGTGAACTGCCGACGCTGAATTTGTAGAGAATTCGAGTGGAGTAGTGGAAAGATGAAGATACCGACTGAATCGACCAGTGACTGCGCCCCTGAATGGAGTGAGCGACAGAATGACGAGCAGACGGACTGCATGACATAAGACTAAGACGAAGGAGTGAGGTGATGAACGTGAATGACATGAAATTGTGGAGATTAGCTTGTGGCTACACCGAGTGTGCAACTAGCTACGGTGATCAGTGCAGACCCAGTTGTTGGCACGCTCATCGGGAGACAGCAGCATTTTCCGGATGTGCGTCGGACGATCCGCGATGATCCTATCGAGGGCCCACCCTGTCCACTGGATGCGAGCCGGTTCTTCGCGATCCAGGATTTCGAGCTGCTCGGCCATCGTGTACGGCTTCCCATCCGGTTTCTTCTCGGACTTGTCAAACAGGATCCAGGGACAGACCTTCGCAGGATACACCCAGATGCCTGGCTCGTACAGAATCGTCTTCGGGGCTCCTGCTTTCAGAAGTTCGGTGATCAACTCGGCGTATTTCTTGATGGCAGGATCATGCAGACCCTTGCGTTTCTTTTTCTCCTTCACCCCATACGACGAGTCCTCCGGATACGTCACCCAGTGTCCCGCGTACCAGATGACCAGCGCGTTGTCCTTCATGAACTTCACGATCTTGGTCAGCACGACGTCACTCCCAAGGCGTAACGCTTGTGGAAGAGGAGGTTGATGACACGACGCTTGTACATCCGCTCGCCCGGTCGGGTCTCCATGATCGCCCGGTACTCGTCCACATTGAAGCGATCCTTGAGTGGCCCCGTCCCGCCGTTGTGGTTCGGTGCGTAGTCAGGGAAACCTGCGGACTCGTAGACGGCGTAAGTCGTACTGGGTGCAAAAGTGGTCAGGATGCCCTTGTGGCGCCACGAAGTGATGCCTCGACCCGGTTCCTCGATCACGGTCAGCTCTTCAGGAGTAAGATCTTTCATCTCCTTGCGAGCGAGTGGAGACTTCTTGCGTTCATCACCAAGTCGAGACTTCTTGCATTTCTTGCCAGACCCAGTGGTGGCTGAATCCGATTGAGATGACACCGAACTAGCCCTGCGCTTGGGACTACGAGTCGAAGGCAAAACGAGATCCGGTGCAGCGTTGGCGTCCGGTACCTCAGTGACATCCTGTTGCGCTGCTGCCTCACGAGCTTCCATCCGGTCGATCTTGGCTTGAGCCTCCTCGCTGGGTTCCCAGTTGCCGTCACGATCCTCGTTGTCAACGTCCTCTTCGTTCTCGTCCAAGAGCAGCTCACTGTCATCTTGTGTGGGGTCCATCTGGTCGGGCCACCGATTAGCGATCCAGTATGCTCTCCGCGTGGAGGAAGTATCGTTCTGGCACGTAGGTTGTCCAATAAGCCTTGTCCAGTTGGTTCCAGTACATCATCTGAGCCAGCATGCAGGACAGATCGTAAGGATGGAACAAGCGATGGGCCATTTCGTCACTGTTCAACAGAGTCGTGACTTCCGAGTACGTCAATCCAGTCCGCATGGCCAGATGAAGATCCGTCCGAAGCTTGCGCCACACAACGGGAAGCCCGGCGAGTGAAGCGCATGCAAGGTTTTCATCGACTGGATATTCTTGGTCCATGGGGCGCGCATCTTCCTCGTTGGGATTCCAGGCTATGGGGCGATTCACGACCCGAGCCACCGCCTTGTGACGACGCTTGCCGCCACTGGATCGACGTTCTGACGAGGAAGTCTTACCGGGTGGAGCCTCGCCTGTGACATCCACAATAGTGACGCGCTTGCCACGCGACCCTGTGCCGCCCTCACTCGATTCAGAGCCGTCGTTGCCCTTCTCTTCCGTGTCGGTGTCGCCGTCGTGTCGGAACTCGAACGGCCCGGGATCGGTGAATGCGTCATATGCAGAGGTGACTGAGATCAGAGTCTGCCATTCGGTGGGAGGCGTGGTACGGATCGGTGGTGCTTGAACAACTCCTCCAGACGCTTCCAGTTGCCAGTCACCTTAGTCTGGTTCCTGTTAAGGAGGTTCATCATGCGGTCGACGTTGAAGACCTCAGACTCGAGGGACTCGACCCACGTACTGGATGTTTTGAGCTTGAACTCCAAGGCAGCGATTCGGTCTCGTAGCGCTTGTTTCTCGACCTCGTGTTCCACCATGAGTTTCTTGAAGTCCGCCCGGTACCGTGCCGCTGTTGCCTCTTTCGTCTCTTTGAGGTCATTGAAGACAGCTCTCCATTGTCCCTGCAGCCGCGTGACGTGAGCCTCGAACTGGGAGCTCTCCTTCTGGGCGGTCAACAGCTTCTCGATCGTGGACGACCCGGTCGCCTGCATCTCCCCGCGAATGGTCCGGTACCGGATCAACAAGCGGCGCATGAACGTAGTCATACTGAATGCACGCAGTGCCAGATCGTGAGGATCGTAGACCGACAAGATTGATGCCAGCTCACGACGCATCTGGACAGAGTCGAGCAGCGCCTCTAACTCGGTCGGACTGGGTGGTGGCCCGGCGCGAGGTCGAAGAAAGAACTCGTTCACGTCTTCGGCCTCGCCCACCAGCTCATTCAGGTCCGCCAGGTCCGTCGCTGAGAAGCATTCCATCGTTGTGAGCACTTCGAGACCAGCGTATCCGTCACGCATGTAGCGGTCGTCTTCGAGGTGACGCATGTGAGCAGGAACCCCAACAAAACGAAACGCGCCATCCGGTGCATACCCACTCGGTGCCTCCCAGCTTGCGGTCATGCCTGGTCTGGATGGTGGCGCAGGATTGCGTCGCGCCGGAAGGCCGCTACCCGCAGGCATGTTGAGCGCCTCGACCACGGACAGGACGCGCCCAGGAATGCTGCGTTGCTTGGCTGCCAGGCGCTCTTCCATCGTGTCGCCCTCTGTCTTCAGGTTGCGCTCACTGTGTTCGTCGCTGTTATTGTCAGACGCCTCCGACGGCGCCTTGCTGTGCGAGGGATCGTCCTTGCCGTCAGCGCTGGACATCTCGACGTCGTCATCAACTTGATTGACGCCGCCAGAAGACGTGCGCTCGCCGCGCGCTTCACCGGCGCCTCCGCCTGAGCCCGAGTTGGCACCCGCAGCGACCTCTCCATCTGGAGGGGCGTGCGGAGGTTGTGCCGGGCCCGGCAGTCCGCTGCCAGGCGTCCCCGCATTGTCGCCGACCTCTTCCATGGCGGTGATGAGTCTCGCGATCGAAAATGGATTGTGACGTGAAGCCGGCTGCTCCCGACGGTTTGATTGTGATGTGTGGAGACTTGCTACAGAGACGAGACGATGGCTGACTTGAGTTCTGGGAAAGAGCCTTTCAACGGTTTTGCGATTCGGTACCCCCTACCACCCGGAGTGGGATCCATCGTGTGTGGGTCTGTTCATGTCCTGTCACCTCGGTGGCAAGATCCTCTGTGAAAGAACCTGAGCAGAGGGGCGGTTGACACGATGTGGGAAAGGATTTTTATTCGCACCCATGTCTGACCGCTGGGATGGGACGACCCTTTGCCTGACTGTGACTGGTCGCAGTGAACAGGAATCCAGTGACGTGGAGTGTGACATGTGGATAGTGGATGCGCATAGTGGATTTGGCGGGACCCGGTGCTTGCAGTAAGCATGGGCTCACAGGATCGGAGATGTGCCCACCGGATGAGCGCTCATATTCGGTGTGGAGTAACACATCCTGTCCGTCCGCCGACTTCCCTGACCGCAGGATAAGCCTAAGGCGCGCAAGTGCAGCCAGTGAACGTATCCTGGCTGCTGCCTGCATTGGCTCCGTCAAGACATCGGACCAACCCCCAAGTTCACCATGCCCACCTTGCTCCCATGCGCCCAAGACCTCGCTGGACAAAGTACACTGTTTGCCGGACTGGATCGTGGTGCACCCGGTAGCGACGCACCGGAGGCCAAGGTGCCGTACTGAATGAGGCCGGACCGGATGATCAATTCGGTCTGACCCCTGGTGCCCATACTGGATCGTGACCGCACCAACAACAAGTCCAGTACTGCTGTGTGTGTAGCAGCAATCCAGGACCGGATCGACCAAGAACGTCAAGCGACACAGGATGGCTCACGTGATTAGATGTAGAGGCCCAGTGCGGATTTGATGAGACGCCGTACCCACGTACCCCTGTCGCCAGATGAGTGTTGCCGAAGGAACGTTGACGTCGACAAGGTGCCCGATAACCAAGCCAAGTCAAGCATACCCAAGCTCAGTGCAAGAAGATCGAAGTCCCGTGCACAAGGTCGAAGCATATCCAAGACAAGTCAAGCATAGTGAAACCTTTATTAGAAGTCAGTGAAGTGAAACAGATAGCTAGCCAAACGTAAGATCAAACAGAAACCAATTTGCCGAGAACACGCGGACGTCTTTCTTCGGGCTGGGAATTCCCCCTGACATTGACGTCTTCAAGAGCCTATACGTGGGATCCGCCTTCGTGCGATCTTAAAACGGAGGACGTTTCAAGGCCTCACTGGTGTTGCGAGCACTGGTGTAGTGGGGACTCAAAGGTACCAAGGCAAAGTCGGCAGGGACTGGGGTGTCGCGCCCTGGAGTGATCTGTGAGAGCTTTATTTCCAATTTGCGTGCTCTATCCGGGCATCCATTTCATAGTCCATCCTGTGTGTCTTAGGCGGTAGAGGTAGTCACCCCCGAGACTGAATTGATTGACTACTGTGTGATAGGATTGACTTATATTTTGTATTGTTCCCTCACTCTGTGAGGGTGGTGCGCGTAAGTGAGTGTGCATCCAGGGTTGACCAGTGCCTTGGGTGACGGCTCCTAAGTTGACTGGCGTATAGACCCCCTCTTAAAGAATAAGTGGTGGCTGTATATTTTGTGACGTTTAGCTCGGCATTGTATTTCTGTGTGTTGGTTATACTGAATTGTGGATCTGACTGTGGTCCCTTCGATTCGGTCTGACTTTCTGTTCATTCGGTGTAGTTTGTTTCAGGAACACACCCAGCAGACTCGATTCTGTATTTACAACAACTCACTCGGTGAAGTCCGGTCCGCCAAAGGTAAACGATACCTATAGGGGTTGACACACGCCAAGTCCAAGCGATCCTCCCGGCCCCCGGTTCACATCCTGTCCTCCGAGGACTATCGGATTGCAGCGGATATCTCTGGTAATCCGAACCGATTCGGTCCAGCATAGTGCGCTATACACCTGGACGATCAAGGCGTTCACCCGCCTCGCCTCATTAGCCTTGGTGTACGCGGCAGCGAACCATTGCACTTGGCTGAGGGTCGGCAAGTCGGTCTCCGACAAGCCAAAACGCCGAGCGATGCCCATGCGGATTCGAGCTGGCTTCAACCCTTGCGTCGCCATTTGGCGGCTGTAGTCTTTCAGTCGAGGTGTCATCTTGGGCCTCTGTGGGTCTCTGACGAGCGTCTCATGGGCACCGACTTCCATGATCGTCACCCGATGGAGCTCTTGACAGGTCAGCACCTTCCCCATCCATGGGCATGCTTCATACGGCGTGGCAGCCCGGCATGTTTCCGAGGAGCAGCGTAGCAGCTGGTAGCGCATCTTATCTGGCCTTGTCAGCGCGCACACAACGCAGGGAACCAGTTGGCTTTTCACGATGATGAAGAACTTCATGTCCTCCATCAGCAGCTGGGAATCCTCGCGAGCCATGTCACTACAGATCGTAGTCCACGTGTAGCTTGGAGGCATCTTGAGACGGTGGCCGCACACCAGTCAATTTATAGCGAATCATGGTCAGGATTTAGGTGTAGTTTCAACCAATCATGATGGTCTCTTCGTGATCGTGTAGGACGCTGGGCGGATTCACTTCACAATACTCGAAGCCCCCCACCCCACCCTCCTCCTCCTACCTCCAACTTCCTCGGCATTTGATGTGTTCTTACATCTCGACGTGTGTCACCCGCTAATTTAGTGTAGTTAAGCGTAAAATTAGTGTGAGGGCTACCATTTCTATGTGATATCACATAATCTGTGTGGTAAACCTTTTTCTTGTGTGTTTTTACGGTTCTGTCATCAATACCTGGATAGCCGTGGCACACAAAATCCGACTCAACCGAATCCCAGTCAGCTGGTTCCACGGGAATGGCAACCGAAACCAATGCCCTAATGGTGTCCCTACTTTCACTGTTATATGCGAGGCGAAACGGCAGCAATCTTCAAATTGTTGATATCGAACGAACCTCTCACCTTGAGTCAACGGGCAACGGGCAAACCCCTTCGACTCGTTGATCGCGTCTCGGCTGAGGTGCAAACTTTCCATGACTTCTGTGGGTGCCACGCAATGAGCCCTAGAGTCTCGGACACATTTTGGGGGTACATGTAGGACTTCTTGAGCTTCGGGTTGGCGTGGTGGTAGACGCAGTCCGGCCTGGGCGCACTTCATTTTCCGGATTGCCTCTGCGAAGATCAGCTGCGAGGCATCGAAAGGCAACTCCCCTCACCCCGCCTCGCAATTTATCGCAGTCCGGCCGGGGCCACCAGGCCATGGAAGTAGTCGCTAGGCTTGGGCTTCTTGACGTGATCGAAATACCAGGTGCGCCATAGGCACGGATCTTAGTAGCTGGGCACATCGACCTTCTTCATTCCGCGCTCGCTTTCCATCTGGGCCTTGGTTACCCCCCCCCCCCCAGATTCCTTCGGTGCGGTTGATAAACGCACCGGTGGATGGATCCACAAACGTTTTGGAGTGGTTAACCTACTGGTGCGTGTACCGCATGCAAGCATGGAACATGTTGTTCTCGAGCGTGTAGAGCGTGACCTTCGTGCGACCGTTCAACACTCAGTCACATAGGACTTAAACTGGTCAGACATTTAAAGGGTTCTTTGCAATTAAAGTTAGCATGAATAGCATCGTACCGGAACATTTAAAAATACACATACCCGGGTTTGATGTACGTTTTGATAAACTGGGACAAGTTGCGCTTGGTTCGGTCATCGTAGACAACCTTAGTGAACCACTTTTTCGTAGTCCGATCCACACCTCCAAAACCCCAGCAGTCTACATACATTTTTCCGCGGTTGTATTTCTACTTTTTCTTCATACTGGTTTCGTCAATTGTTACCACGTGTCCTTCTTCATCGATCTACATATCGTAACAATAATTGTAAAGCTACACAACGCAAAGTTTCGATCAAAATAAATGCATTCATCTTCAAATCGCAGCGTAACAT